TTCCGATCGATCCTTCATGTGACTGTATGGTAATGCTCATATCCCGGAAAAAAAAAACAAATTCAATTTGTTTTCCGGGTTACCTCCTATTCTAATGATATATTCTCTCCTCCTCAGGTTTGCAAGAAATTCAGCAGAGCTTATATTCATTCTCTAGTTACAAAGGACCCCATGGGGTCCCAGCTTGTATCATACCACAACCTGCATTACATGTTGAAGGTATATCCTCTGAGAAAAAAAAAAGGAAGAAGAATAAATCTGCTTAGTTAATATTCTGCTGATTATTTCTGTATCAAACCGGTAATCAGTTCCTCGCTATATCGCAGCTCAGCCGAGATCTTCACTCATCAATCATTGAAGAAAATTTTCCGACGTTCGTCTCTCGTCGACTTACCTCCTCGTTCTCATTTTCAACGATCCATTCTTCTATGCTGAGAACAGCAGTTTATTGATCAATGTATATATGAAATGTTTTCGCAGGTTTGTCTGCGATTTCCTCGGGAAAATGGTATTCAACAATTCCTCGTCCCTCTCTTTCGGGCATAACCTATTTCTGTTCAGTCACGCTGTCATGATAACGTTTTCGAATCTCCTTTTTTTTTCGTGGTCGATTTTTGCTTGCAGTTTCCGAAAGGCGACGTACCTAAATGGGTTCGGAACGCAATGGAAGTCGCTGAGATCGACATTTCCTCATGTTGTGCTGCCCTTTCACCATCAGATACATGAGGAGGCAAGATAGGCTCCTATAACCCGCATTCATTCGTCATTCTTCTGTTCTCTCTCTCTCTTTTCCAAGAAGGAAAGGTGAGATCTTTTTGCCCTTAATTGCAAGCATGAGTTCTGTATGCCTTGCAAGCGTAATGACATATGCTTAATGTGATCCATCCTAATCAACATCCAAATCTATCTCTTATGTCACAAGCGTTCATTACCTTATCTTCTTCTTCTTTTTTCCTGCAAGCACCTTTGCTTCCGCATGCGGTAGACAAGCAGATTAGGTACACCTCGGTTCATACCAGACTACCAATGTGGTAAGGAATAAAACATGAGATTCAAAAACCAAATCCGAGTCGAACAGAAATAGAACCGAACCAAACCAAATTAGATATAAAATCCGAATTTTGGAAATAGAAATAACCAAACTAGGTTATAATATAACCGAACGTATCAAATCCCGAAATGAGTCTCAAATATAACCTATTATCATATTCCTCTCCTGGTAGGAACAGTTCCAGAGTCGTAATCCTTAAATGATTCGCCTGAGCAATGAATGTCACGGCACTGAGAGGAGGAAATAGAGAGACCAAAGGAGCCCATATATCTTCATGGTCCGGAAGAGTAGGTGAATTCAATACACAGACTCATTGAAATCCGGTTGAAATCAACCAAAGAGAAGATAAAAAGTACGGGAATAGATCAAGAGAAAGAAAAACGAAACCAGAAGCATCACGATTAAGAAAACAAAACAAAGGCAAGAATACATTTGCCCTCACAAGTTTTCAAAGTAGCCAAAGGAGACTTACAACAAACACAAAACTTCTCCGGACAAAAACATATCATGGAGAAGTTCAAATACTGAATAAACAATGTTGCAGACCTACTGCGGCGGCTGTTCGTCAGCAGGCTTGGGTGCTGCTTCCTTGATCTCGTCATCGTCCTGGTTAATCAAAATGAACAGATTCAGAGCAGAACAAGCAACAAACACCGCCCATGATTTCCAACCAAACCCAGTTTCAGGAAACGCAGATCGGATCAAAGTTTAATACCTGCATGTCAGAGGTCCAGAGAGTGAGGTTGTCACGGAGAAGCTGCATGATCAAGGTGCTATCCTTGTATGACTCCTCCCCTAGAGTATCCAACTCGGCAATCGCTTCATCAAATGCCTGGTGATTCCAGATATACACTCATTCAAAACAGAGACTAAGACAACCACGCTAACACTCCACCAAAACAACCCAACACTTCATGGAGCAGAGACTTTTTCCCATCATATGCAACCAATACTTGCTCAATCCAACAAACCCATTTACCTGCTTAGCGAGATTGCAAGCACGGTCAGGGGAGTTGAGGATCTCGTAGTAGAAGACAGAGAAGTTCAAAGCCAGACCGAGACGGATCGGGTGAGTTGGAGCAAGTTCTGTGTTAGCAATATCCTATACAACATCAACACGAACAGATTCAACCAATCGACGCGCAAAGGATATAATGAACACAGAATGATCCAAACACGCATCCATAGATCACACAGAATCCGAGTCAACGCAACCCAGATCAACCCAGAATGATTCAAACCTGAGCGGATTTGTAAGCGTTGAGAGTGTGCTCGGCGGCGTCCTTCCTCTCCTGCCCGGTTTTGAACTCGGCCAAGTACCTGTGGTAATCTCCCTTCATCTTGAGGTAGAAAACCTTAGAATCCCCAGCGGATGCACCCGGGATCAGACGGGTATCAAGCAACTTGAGGATTCCGTCGCAGATGTTGGAGAGCTCCGTCTCGATCTTGCCTCTGTAGTCACGGATGATGGAGACGTGGTCATCGTTGCCGCGGCTCTCCTCCTTCTGCTCGATCGAGGAGATGATTCTCCACGAAGCACGTCGTGCTCCGATGACGTTCTTGTAGGCGACGGAGAGGAGGTTCCTTTCCTCGACGGTGAGCTCTTTGTTATCACCAGCGTTGGCGACTTTCTCCATGAATTCGACCATCTCCTCGTACCGCTCCGCCTGCTCCGCAAGCTTGGCCATGTAAACGTTCTCATCCCTCGCCGAGGACGCCGCCATTGTTCTTTTCGCTAGATCGGAGCGACAAGAGATTCAGATCTGAGAGAGAGAGAGAGAGAGAGAGAGAGAGAGATTTGGGGTTATGTTCTCCGGGCTGTGAGAATTTTTTTGTTGTTTTAATTTGTTTTTTTTTTTATTTATTTTGGATTTTTTTTAGAAGGCAATAATGAGTGGGGAGCGACGATTGCGTTGGGAAATTGAACGAGGGCCGTTGGATTAATATCTATGAAAGAAAGAGTGAAGATCTAAAATAAATATTTATTTATTTGAAGGGAAAAAGGGGGAAAAGCTGGCACACGGGAATTTTGATTCGGGTGATTGCCTTTTCGGCTACTTTTAGGTCAGTCTGAAATTTCGAAGACCGAAGGGCATAACGAAACAATGATGGGCCAAGGCCCAAGCCCACTTGATTTTATTATATCGCATAACGAGGAAATAAGAAAATATATTATCGAGAATTTCAAATCTCATCCACCAAAACCTCATCAGAAAATATATATAAGCCTAAACCACAATATAAATTCTGTTATATTAAATTAAATCAATCTATTAGAGGATAATTATGCGGGTTGGAGTACAAAAGGAAAAATAATGAAGTCTTCGAGTGCAACATACCCACAAAGCCATGTGCCAAAGCTGCTCTCTGGTACCAAAAGGACGACGACAACGACGGCTTCTCCGATCGATCGAGCCATGAATTTCTCCGTGCACTCCAGGCGCCGCCGATGCTCTTATCACGCATCGCCGTCATGTTGACCGCCGCCTCCTGGCTTCGAACGCGGCGGAGTCGCTTTGTCTTCTTCCTTCTCTGCTCTCCTCTCCTCCTTCCTATACTCTGCGCCTCCATTCCTCTTATCTGCGCCGCAGAGATCTTCTTCCGTCTCCGCCGCCGCAGATCGAGGATCGGAAAATCAATCTCAGTCGCCGTTGCCTCCGCCGATGAAGACGACATGCGGCTGCGGCGGTGCGAGGAAGGATGCGGATGCGACGGATTTGGAGGAGGCGAAGAAGAAGGAGAAGAAGAAACCGGTTTGTTGCTTCAGAGATACTTGGAGGATCAGTTGCTTCTCGTCAGATCCGTCTACGATTGCGGTGAAGATGCCGCCGACGCCGACGACGGCCGAGATCGCGATCCCGATCGAAATAGGGTTCCTCTTCTGTCTTAAACTTGTTTTAAAATCAAATTATATGTAGATAATTAAAAACAGTTTTATATACTTGTGAATCTGATCTTATCAATCAATATATGCGATATTTTTATGTCTAGAATCAGCATTTAAAATTTTCATAAAATCCTAGAAACAGATTCATCTATTTTCTTTCACATAAATCCATTATCGTTAGTTATAGCCTAAACCTTTTATATATTTATATTAATATTGATTCTTAAGGTCTGTTGGAATTGGAAATGATGAATTTAAGGGGAAAATACATTGAATTTCATAAATGAATTAGTCGAGGATAAAAAGTCGTATTTCCCCGCGCTTGTGAGTCCACACAAGAGCGCCGAATCGAGAGTCTCGCGCACATGATCGAGACGCAGAAGAAGATGATCGAGCAACAGGTCCAATAAATACGGGAGCAGACGAGGATTATGGAGGAGCGGGCGAGAGAGCATGAGATGAATATCGCTAACCTCGACCACATTGTGGAGCGATTCCCAGCACGCCTCCGAGCTCTCATGGCGACAAAACGTCCACGGGTCATCCGAACACCATTTCTAACGAACTTCTCAACGTAATCGCGTTAAAAATTTCAATAGACAACCGTTGGCTTTGCCGTTGAAAACTTTCCAACAGTTGCCCGTTTGAATACCCTGTTGTGATATTCGAACAAAATTTCCAAAGAATTTCAACGGATCATTCCGTTACAAATTCGTTGAAAATATTTCATCGAAAATATCTGTTATGAATCTGTTGGAAATAAATCTGTCGAAAATTCCAACGCACCTCTAACGTAAAGCGATTTCCAGTGAATTTGGCCGTTGGATGTTGACAGTTTTTTTTTGTAGCGATACGAGGTGAATGAAAATGTGAAACAGCTGTTCTCCAGGAGCTCTAATGAGTTCGTTCACCTTCGATTTGTGATGTGATATTGGAATCTCGGTGTAATAATGCAGCGGAGCCAGCTTGTGCTGGAGCGAGAAATAGGAAAGCTTCGGTCTCTACGCCTTCAGCAGCACCACAACACGAGCCGAGAACTCCGAGTCCCAGGTTGCAGCCTTTTCTATCTAATTCAAGAAGTTTTACTCTGAATTCAGTTTGCTACTAGTCATGTTGTTTATGTATGAACTTTATTCCGCTACATGTATGTGTGTATATATATATATATCTTGCTCCGTATTAGTAATTAGGCTCTTTGAAGACTACCACATAAACTATGCAGCAAATGGCGAAAATAATGATCAGGACGTCAAACGTGAGGGCGGTCATGGCCTGGTCACTAAGCTCCATGTTCCTGCCACCGAGCCTGTCAACCATGTCAGGTATGGACTGATAGTTCCGCAGGTCTCGCTCTTTCGGGTCGTCGAGCTTCATCCTCATCTTTTCGGCCTGACGGCTCGCTGCCTCCTGAGCCAGGGTCCAGTCATAGAACCGCCTGCTCTCCTCATCGCTCAGGACATCGTACACCTCTCTCAGCTTCATGAACTTGTCTGAAGCTGTCTTAAGCGGCAACGACGTTGTGTCCGGATGGTACTCCTTCGATAATCTCCGGTAAGCGGCTTTTATCTCTTCTATGTCAGCATCTGCATTCACTCCCAAGAACCTAAGGTAATACATACAGTCAGTCCATCACTACATCATCGCACATATATACACCTATATGTAATATCCATGCGTTTACGCACTGGTAGTGAGAATCAGAAGATTCCATGAGCAGGTCGGAAAACTTATCATCACCAAAGAGAGTGGTCTTGTCTTCAACCTCGGACTTGGTCGGGTCGGGTCCGCCGATCCAACCGTCGTCCGGGTTGTCCCAGTGGATCCTCGTGTCCACTCCTGGTGGAGCTCGTTGCCTCTCTGTCGGCCCTTTCGAAGCATAAATGCGTGCCGTTTTTGCTTTTTTCCTTGTTCTTCCTCCTCCAAGTAGAGATCCCGCTCTCTCGTCGTGTCTGGAGTGTCTGCTGTTTTGGGCTCCCGGCAAGAAAATGCTTGCCGTCCGGTGACAAGACGCTGTGGAAGCCATGGCCTAAAAGACTCAGCTTTGCTCTTCTTCCTCTGTTTCTGATCCTCTTTGGAAACTTATCCCACGGCCTCATCTTTTGTGTGGCTCAGATATCAGATTTCGTTATTTATTCTCTTCTGCCATATCCTTTTTGTCTCCATTTACAACGCCCAAAAAAAAAAAGAATCTAATTTCTAAAAAAATATATTTTAAATTTATCATATAAAAATGGGAATATAACAGTTGTCTTTTTGAAAGGGCCACTCTCATCAAGACTGGCCGGCTCGTATTGACTACGAGGTCTGCCTCCGCCACACTCCACAATGATGTAAGATATCCGGAGTTTTGCTCCAATTACATCTATCAAAGATCGAGAAGTTCGGATAAATTCTCTTCTCTATGTTTAGATTTAAACCCAGATAAAAATATGTTTTATATGTTTTTTACCACTAAATCATATAAAGTTAAGTTTTGACATTGTATTTTTTTACTCTATAATTGGTTAAAATTTAGATTTATATATTATATTTCTCCAAACATTTGCACTTTTTAAGTTGGTGGACACTCCTTCTCATCCATCACATGATAGAAGAGTTTTCTGTTTCATATGGGGTGATCATTTCATTTGTATTTGACATCCATGGAAAACAATATAACCATACGATTTATCTGCCTGTGTGGTCTAACATAATTATTACACAAAGAGACGTGTAACAAAATAATATTCCAACTTAGGTATTAGTCCATCGAAAGCCAATCCTAATGCGAATTACAGAATTATTCCTAAAATAATGTGCATGGTTTTAGATTTCAATGGAAAAAAAATAGAAAAAGAAAATAGAAGATTCAAATAAAAGTTATGGCCATTGGCCATTGATGAGGGGGAGGGTAGGTGGGTAGGCAGGTAGAAGCCTCTTGGACCCGGTTTCCCGGACTCTCCCTTTCTTCTAGAAGGTTAGAAACCAGCCATTTCAGTTTGAATATAATAATTTATATTATATCCCCAATATCTTTTTATAACTATTTAACAAACCCGGAAAAAATAATTTATTAATTTATATTTTTTTTAAAAGAGCACATCCCCACCACCAAGGTTAATTTATAATCTTTTGCCCCATGATTTTAACTTTTATTATTATTTTAATAAAAACTAAAAAGTAATATCAAATCTTAACACAAAAAAGCAGGAAGAAGGGAGGGGAAGGTTACCTACCAAATCTCCACACAAGCTTTCTCTATCTTTCTCTCACACACACACACCCCAACTTGGTCAAAGTCCCCTCCTTTTATACTCCTCACAGATCCTCCTCCCTTGCCTTCCTCTTCTCCTTGTATTCTCATCTCTTCTTTCCCTCTCCCTCTGTCTCTCATATGCATATAGACATCCATACATAGACAGGCATCATCATGGGAAGGTCGCCTTGCTGCGAGAAGGCCCACACGAACAAAGGAGCATGGACCAAAGAAGAAGACCTACGTCTAACCGATTACATCCGTAAACACGGCGAAGGCTGTTGGCGTTCTCTTCCCAAAGCTGCCGGTCCGTTTTCTTCTCTTTCTTTCTCACCACTCCTTTTTCCCGGAAAATAAAACCTGGGTTTCACGACAGTTCCTGCGAAGAATCTTGGGTTTGTCTTAAAATTTCGGTCTCTTACACCTCTGAATTAGAACACACACACAGAGGACTCTCTGTTCTGTTCCGGTTTTTTATTTTCGATTTGACGAGAATTTTCTATTGTTTTATTTGTTCTGTTGCTTATTGGGTTTGATGAAATGCGCCGCTTCGTTTTCTTGTCGTTTTAATTTAAGAAACAAAAAAAAAATCATGGGTCTAATGGAGGATGGTATCGATTTTGATGAAAAACAGGATTGTTGCGTTGCGGCAAGAGTTGCAGGTTGAGATGGATAAATTACCTTCGACCCGATCTCAAAAGAGGAAATTTCACCGACGAAGAAGATGAGCTCATCATCAAGCTCCACAGCTTGCTGGGAAACAAGTAACTTTTCCTTCTCCGTTTGCCCCCCGAGAAAATCTGCAACTTTCCAGGAAAAAAGAGAGAGAAACAAAGCCATTTCCTCCGTTTCTAACATCACGGGTTTTCCATTTTTGGGATTTTCAGATGGTCTGTGATCGCCGGAAGATTACCTGGAAGAACAGACAACGAGATCAAGAATTACTGGAATACTCACATTAAGCGGAAGCTTCTCAGCCGTGGGATCGACCCTCAGACCCACCGTCCGATCAACGAACCTGCCGCCGTCACAGATTCCAACACGGCGTCGTCTCAGAGAACTCCGGCGGCTCCTCCCCAAAACGCCGCCGTTCCGTCCACCTTCCCAAATGTGAACGGCTTCACCTCCGACGCCATTTCACCCAAATCGGAATCTTCCTCAGACCACGGAGCCACCACAAGCGGGACGACCACCGACGAAGATCTCCGGCAAAACGGCGAGTGTTATTACAGTGACAATATTAACTCCGGACGCGAGGAGCTGAATCTGGAGCTCACACTTGGGACCGGGTCGACCCGGTGGGTGGAGTCGGGTCGGATCACGGGTGTGGGCTCGTCGGCGGAGTCGAAGCCTTGGTGGGTCCACTGACCTGACCGCCGCGATGGCGGCGCGTGGAGTTTGTTTGTGGCTGTAACACGTGACCCTTGACGGGATTTGCCAAACGGCAAAATGGGTTCTTCAGAATCTGTAGAAAATTTGTCTCTATCACAAGTTTTCAGCAAATCGATTGCAGATGTTATGTAAACATGCAAATCGGTCAATTTTTAAATCAATTTTTTTTGTTATTTTCGCTCCATCAGTGTTAATAATGACATTCTCTCTTAATGCATATTATTCATAATTTTACATGATCATTAGTATATTTCAGTTTTCAAAAGTATATACGTATTCATGTTTATAATAAATTTTGATCGGTTCTTAGTTTATTATTAATAAAATATAATGGGCTTGAGAGATAATGGCCATTTGTAGGCCCAATCAATTAGAAGAAAAAGTCTGTTAGGCACACACACAATGGAAGAGACGTCCTTTGTAAACTTTACAATGTCCATTCTTTTTGCCCTCACACGTCTGATGTCATTTAGCGGTGGTGGGGTTCGGGTATTTCCATCCATAACCGAACTGAACCGAATTCTTAGATATTAACCGAATAATCGAATTTATTATGAATTTTCAAAATTCGAAATAATAGAATTTGAATCCAACGAACCGATTAAAGTTTAATAATTATTTGGTTATGAATTCTCAAAATCCGAAATAACCGAATCGAACCGAACCAAACTGTTTATATATCTCATTTATATATTTATATACATGTATTCTTAATTTGATCATTGATTTATTATTTTTCAATTATTTCATTTTTTATTTTTAAAGTTTGGTCGATATGAATATTCAAAGAGGATAAGATTTATTTATGAAGTCTTTTCATTTTATTGTTTTTATGCCAAAACAAAAAATAACATTAATTTATATTTTATTATTTTATATGTTAAGATAATTATGATCATATTTTATATTTTATATTATATCTTGTTTGAATATTTTTTTATTATAAATGATTTGATTTTTTTTAATATTATAATTGAACGGAAGCGAACCGAATATAATTTTAAATAGATAAAATCGACCGAATAAAAATAAATAACCGTTTGGTTATAAATTATCAAAACCCGAAATAATCAAAACCAAATCAAAACGAATAAAATTAAATAACCGTTTGGTTATAAGTTTTTTAAGCATAAAAGTACTTTTTTTATTGAGAAAAATAAAACCAGCATAAACAACACAGAATTCTTTTTTGTTTTTAAATTAGTTTGTATACTCTATAGATACAGATAAATTCCTTTCAATACAAAGATCATAACAAAAAATAATAATGGAGGTAAAGATAAAATAATTTATTTAAATTTGGATAGTGGAAAAAATACAAAAGGTTTGTTCCTGTCCCGAATTCGAATTTCAAATTCGGAGAGAGTGTATATTCCAAATCATGAGATTGATTCCAACGGTAAATATATACTTTGATTCATCCATGAAACTATTATCATGCATCCCGATTAGTTGAACCAAACATTCAATGACCGCTCTTTCACCCCTAATGTCACTAATAAAACAATAATAAAATAAAATAACTCCATGCTTCTTGCACGTGCAAACGCAAACGCAAAAGCAAACGCGTTTTTTTCCTTATTACCTTTTCCTTTCATTTATACTTGGGAAAGCAAAGAGAGAAGCAAAACAAAGAGTAGCCTTGTACCCCCTCCTCCTCTCATCGTCTCGAAGACATTAATTAATGGAGAAATCAGTACAAAAAAAGGACAGAACTGCCAGTTCTCAGAAAGTCCAAGAAGCAGACCGCTTGAGAACAGGTTTCATCTGCTTGTCTTCTTCAAGAGAGATCATGCCGAGATGGGAAGGGTCTTCAAGCATCATCTTCGCGACCAAGTATCCCGCTATCGACCACGTCTGCAGCTTCCTCGCCTGTTTCCCTATGTACCGACCCTGCTTCCCGTCGTAGTACTCTGGCCAGCAATCCCTATGGAGACGCGTCTCTATGAGATCGATCGCTCGTCTCGCTATTTGTGGCCGTCCCGTCTTTATGCACGCTGCGGTCAGCAGCCACAACAGGACTGCAGATAGAGAGACAGGGTGTAACTGTATCATAACATCTACATACATATATACACATATAGATAGATAGATGGATAGAGATACCTGGCCAAGAGCCCCCGTTGTGGTAGCTCCAGCGCGTGTTCTTGGGATCACAGCCAGTGACGATGCGCCATTCGTGGCTCTCGATGCAAGGGTAACATATCTTGAGAGGCATCTCCCCCACGAGCTCCTCCCAACGAGCCTCGATGAGGTCCATGATCGCCATTGACTGCTCGGGCGTCGCCAGCGACGACAGGATCGCCACGCAGTTACCCAGAGCGAACCACCTGAAGTCCATCCGGGCTGGGCTCACGTTTCCCACGAAGTACCCTCCCCTCAGCGGCATGAAGTCGAACACCCACTCCGGTATCGAATCCGGCATCACGTTGAACTTGTTCACGGCTGTGTGCGAGTACTCCTCTGTCTTGTACCTGCACGGTTTACAGTTTCGTTTTGCCTTTTATACGTATACACCTCACATTCACGGCCCTGGCATTAAAACCTGATATCGACCGACAGCATCCGAGGCCAGGCTCATGAAGTCTAGGCAAAGATACTTTGGCCATCAAAACCCGTGGGATACGACCGAAACCGATTACTAGGGGTGAGTATTTTTACCCGTGACCCATGAGTTTTCGGGTATCCGATCTCACGAGTACTCGTTATGAACGAGACCGGAAACGGGTGCAACGAGGCCAAAAACCCATCATTTTACCCGTTCCCACGTGCTACAGACTATAACATATGTACCTGTAGATGTCGTTGAGTTGCTGGAAATCGAGCCAGAAATAACTCCTCATGTGAAAGCTCAAGGCGTGAAGACGCTTCACGATTCTCTCTATGAACTCTCTACCTTCACCGTCGTGTTTTAGCATCGACAATGCGCTTCTCAGCGCCATGAAGAACAGCGCTTGGATCTCGATCGGATAGCCGTACACACCCTAAAGCATCCATCACGTTTAATATCTCAGCAGATGCTACGATATATTCCGAGAAGTCGTTACATGACAAAAGCTTACCATTCTCCGATCGATCATACTGCAGCCGTCTGCGCAAAGCAACGTAGGAAAAGTATCGAAACCTTCAGACAAGCAAAGCGACAGTATAAGCCTCATTCCTTTCTGACACTCTGGTGTCTCGGCAAGAGACAAATCCCCTGTAGATTTCGTGTATGCTCGGAGAAGGATGATCCACCAGAAACCAGAATCAACAGGCGCCACTCTTCCAATGGCGCTCTCTCCAAAATCTGCTACTATCGTGTCTGTTTTCCGGACAGGATCATGAAGTACCTTGAAACTAGCTGGCATAACTCCTTCACCGAGCTTGAACCGGTCGACACGCTTCTCCCAACCCTGAAGCTGAAGTGTCTTCAGCAAGAAGTTCTTGACAATGTCCGGTTCTCCGTTCATCAAGAACGCAAGCGCACTAGGTACAAAGTCCCGTACAAACACCTAAACAACAACAAGCACCCAGAAACATCATCGTACAAGGCTCTCCGAACAGAAGTAGACACGAAAATGTGTGTGAACATGTAAAGTACCTGATCGTAGTTCAAGACCTCTTCAGAGGCATGGTCGTAGGCTGCAATGAACTGTCGACAGAGCGTCCCATGCCTCGGACACCATCGGATGAGGCTCGAACGAGTTCCTGGCCGACGAGAGAGGCGTGTCATATCCCGACCGACCTCCTGGGGAATAGGTACTTTCATGGATACTGTCATGTCTGAAACCAGTTGACAGTTCACTCATTGACCTCTCGTCAAACGATCTCTTCCGCTCGATCTTCAGCCTTGGCTTGTCCAAGGCTCGAGAGAGATCGAAATCGTCCATCTCGGAGAGCGAACAGTGCGATCCAACGGCTCTGAGACCAGCTGCTGATTCTTTAGGACAGTCCATCTCGGTTTTAGTCGATCAAGAAGCTCTTTGGTTCGGACAGAACAAGATCTGGGTACAGTCGAAACAAACATTTGGAAGAATCCAAAATATTGATTAGAAGGAAGATCAAGGAGTTTAATGCATGAGATAAATGGTGCTTATATATAGCAAGACTTGATTTGCAGATTTATTATGAACTTATCCAATTCAGATAGTCTCTTTTCTGTAACCGTCGATTCAAAGCATTCAAGCTTTACATACAAAAATTACAGGACGACGGGGGTTGTGTAACAGAAACAATACTTATCCAAATAACAATAACTTTAAAATAATAATCCAAAAATAGTGCGAATCCGTCAGAAAATTTAAATAGAAATTAAAAAAATCTATCTTGTTATAAACCACATTGCATCTACAATTTTCCCGGAAAATTACGTTCTGTAGAATCGAACTGTGGTATCGGGGATGTAAATGTAACAGGGAGATCAAGATCCATGACGAACTATCTGAGAAAACACCGAGTCAACTTCGGACAAGACATAAACCATTCAGCTACAGAGACCAAGCAAAAACAGAGAAAAACAGTCTCTCTGTTCTTAAACCTGAAACCAAAAACCAGATCTAAATCTCCGGAACGAACACGACAGGATATAGAGTTTTCAACCAAAATATAACTAAAAGGTCCCAAAAGAAATCTTCAGACAGAGAAACCGAACCTGAGTAGGCGACCGGAGACAGCGAGACTTCACGCCGGCGGCAGAGACGATCTCCGGCGAACTTAACGGAGAATGTGAACCGAGAGGGAACAGGGGAAATTAAAGGACACGAAGAAAAAAGGAAGAGAGAAAAAAAGAGAATGAGGGAAGAATGATGTTATTTATATTGACAACCAAAAGCATCTTAGAGAGAGAGAGACCGAACACCAAAATTGAGTAGAAACGGGTCTGGTAAGAGAACGAGAGAGAGAGGGGAGAGAGGGTTAACCGGTTATCGCCGGTTAAGGGAAATGGGTGAAGTCTACGTGGACAAAACCTCGACGTAGTGATCGGCTTTGTCTGATTTGGCAATGAGATAGAAATACATTTAAATTTCTGACGTTAATATTTAAAATATTAAACTCTCCAAGTTGCAAGGGTTTGGGCAGTCGAGGTCCCAGATTCCAAAGTCCAAATTGAGTATCTATAATAACCTCAAATATCACTGTGAAAAAATATTAAAAAGAATGTTTTGTTTTTTCAGCATAAATTGAATTCTGAAATAATAGTAAAAAAATGAATTTTAAAATTATCAATTATAAACTTCAAAAACTATAATATATACATTTAAAAATTAAATCATTTCATAATTCCACGTAATTTTATTTATTTGTTTCCTAAAAAGAGATATAATCAAAATATTGTGATAAAAATAGGGCACTGAATAAATTGTGAGGGTGTCCATTAAATATATACTTGACTTATATAGCCAATTGCACAGATATTAAAGAATAAAGATAGACTTGACGTTTTTCCTTTTATCCACGGCATCTCTACGATTTTATTTTTCATCGACGCGTATATTTTTGTATTCATGATTGGATTTGGATATATTATATTCATTCTAAATTTGATTAATTTCAATTATATAAATTTGGAAAACTCCAGATAAAAACAAGTATATATGAAAGAATATTACATATGGATATGGGACAAGAATCTGCTTTTTTTAACAAGAAAAAAAAAAGGAAGGATCTAATATTATATATATATATATAATAATGCTAATTTTACAAGATTACCCTCGGTCAAAGAAGAAACAATGTATATCAAGCTAAGATATACGAATATGTTATTTGAAAATATTTTGTCAATGTATATCAAGCTAAAAAAGTACGATATGATTGAGCGAATTTTATAAAATTGAAACTAACGCAATATAAAAACATTTATTGGCGACCAAATTATCCGACTTTTTCATTGAACATATATTTTTATATATATTTAAGAATGTAAGTTGTAGTTGATTTATTTTATTTAAAATTCGAAGAAAAAAGTGTTTTTCATTAGGTTGACACTGTGAGATGGACACCCAAATACACACTCCATGATAAGGTTTTTATTTATAATAAAGTTTGTGGAATTTATCATTCCACTACATCATTTCGTAGCATTGTATCCAATCGCGTCTGGTTTCTTTATCTCCTATTGTTTTATTATCCGTATCGATTTGTTGTTGCTCATATATCTAAATGGTTTCATGTTGACCGATCTCAATTTCGTGTTTTTTAAGCATAAAAGTACTTTTTTTATTGAGAAAAATAAAACCAGCATAAACAACACAGAATTCTTTTTTGTTTTTAAATTAGTTTGTATACTCTATAGATACAGATAAATTCCTTTCAATACAAAGATCATAACAAAAAATAATAATGGAGGTAAAGATAAAATAATTTATTTAAATTTGGATAGTGGAAAAAATACAAAAGGTTTGTTCCTGTCCCGAATTCGAATTTCAAATTCGGAGAGAGTGTATATTCCAAATCATGAGATTGATTCCAACGGTAAATATATACTTTGATTCATCCATGAAACTATTATCATGCATCCCGATTAGTTGAACCAAACATTCAATGATCGCAAGCATCACCCCATTTAGTTTGTTCCCTTCACACTATTCATGATTGCTGTCTCAATTAATTTTGGAATATATATATATAATGTGTGTGTATTTGGAATGAATATGGCGTGTATCGTGCGAATTGGATTTATAATAATAATCACGTGCACTCTGATTTAAGGCGGTCCACCAACTATCATAGATAATCTATTCTACCTATATAATATATAAGTTGGCGTCCCTTATGAAGCATTACTATTAATATTTTAAAATGACCATATATGTTACCTACTTATATATATATAATGAAATTTCAAAAAAAATATATATATATATATGATGTGAGGAGGCAATAAATGTATGTAGTGAAAAAATGAGCAATGAATATATATATAACTTCACTATATTAGTATACATAATGGGGTCTAAATTATAACGTTTCCGAATTTATATCTAAAATAAAGATTTTCCAGTTTTTTAATTCTTTTTTATTTGACTATTTTTATTTAAAAAAGTTATATCTATTTGGTGCTATATACTGCAATTTAGTTCATTCAATTTCATTATTTTTATATTTAAATCGATTTTTTTAATTTTAATTAAATAAAACATTTTAAAAAAAGTATGCATTATACTTATTACTTTTGCCATTATCTTCTTTTTGCCACACCTATGAGATATTATATATATATATATACATATATATAATAGTCAAATTTGTGTATCCGTTAGAAGGCAGCTTTTTACATAAATGTAAGGTCAAAACATGCTAGCGGTATTTTCGGCATGATTTTCAGGAACCAATCCGTCCAATTGGGGAAAAGTGTCGTTAGGCTTAAAAATTAGGTTAGGTCCGATTCTCTTTCCGGTTTCTTGCACCGCGTACGAAAAAAAAAGAATGTTTATTTGCATATTTACAAACTATATTTATTTTTCATAAATACCTTTTATAACGGTACTTTTTCAAAATATATAAAAAATAATTTTCATTTTCTAACAATACTAAAAAAAATTCCACACAAAATTCCTACTTATTGTTAAATATTTCTATTAATAAAAAAAAATCGCATATAAATACCTAAACTTTAATAAAATTCTCATATAAATATCTGAATTATAAAATTTCCATATAAATATCTAAACTTTTCAAAACTTTCACATAAATATCTAAACTTTTAAATATGTTCCAAATGAAACCAAAATTTATTAACCACGTTTAATTTATAACAGAATATGTCAAAAATTGATGACTTAACATTCTGATATGTTAAAGACCGTTAACGGATATTGTTTAATTTGTAAGATTTTTAAAATTTTAGATTTTTTGTAAAAGTTTTAAAAAATTCAGATATTTATTTAAAAATTTTATAAAAATTTAGGTATTTATATGCGATTTTTCATTAACCAATTATAAATTCTTATAACTAAGACCCGAGTTTTCACTTTCGTTTATATCATATCATTTGAAGCATGTGCCCTTCTTTTAATTGGACTTGAAATCTCCAGACGATAATTAAAGGCCTATCAATTAATGGGCCTCGATTGGGCCTTTAATTGTCATCTGTGGGTTTCAACTTTCCACCGTTTTCCAGAATCAACGAGGAGAAGACGACGCTAGATCATAGTGAAATCGCTCGAGAAATCGGATTTTGGAGGTTGGGTTTGGGAAACAATGGAGCAATTGTCTCCACCGGCTCCGCCATGAGCCTGATCATCTGGTACTCATCCTTCTGAAATGATTTTTCAAATCATTTTAGCTATTTCTTGTTTGGCTTTCGGTGACTGCTCATGTTTGATATTTTTGTTGGTTTAGGTTGTAAGGGCGTATGCACATGAGCAGTTTGCGAGGCTTATTCTGAATGACAACGAAGAACTGGATCTGTCTTCTGAATCTCTTAATGTGGAATGTGAAGTGACACTAACAGACATAGGTAGGGAAGATGGAGATCGTCAGTCCCAAGCCGGTGGGGTTTCTGTGCGGCTCCATCCCTGTTTTGGCCGATAACTCCTTCGCTGCTTTCAGTTCGGCTCTCGTTCCGTCTTGCGAAACGTCCGTTACCATCTCCGACAACTGGTTTTGCTCGTATTTATTACTTGCTTGCGACTTGTATGAACTTGTTGTTGTTGCAGAGTGAGTGCTCCGAGGTACAGGATGCTGCCGACGGAGACGGACCTGAATCGGCCGCCGCTGTTGAAGAAGTTTCCCGAGAAGGTTCTGCCCCTCGCCGCCGTGAAATCTAGAACGGCCGGAGGTATTTTCTCTATGTTTTGATTTTTTTTGAGCTTTTGGGTTATGTGGGATTTCAATGTTTACTCAGAAGTTCATGATTGAATGGATTAACTAACTATTGGGTTCTCTCATTCTGAGTATTCTGTTTTGCTGCAAGTCTTGTTTGTCTGAAATCCATGGTTTAGAGGTGAATAATTTGTAAATTCAGACGCTATTGAAGTAAACTGATGATGTTTTTGGTGTTCAGGTTCTGCTCATACGCTTCAACTAATCCAATCTGTTTCCTTTGCTAAGATTGCTTAAGCTGTTTTTCTTTTCCTCGACAGATATATCTTGGGAACCCTATGCTGTTTCTTCGAACCTTAGCAAGAAATGTGAGGCCCTTGCTGTTTCTGGCTTAGTGGAATATGGAGATGAGATAGATGTGATCGCCCCTGCTGACATTCTTAAGCAGATCTTTAAAATACCTTACTCGAAGGCTCGGGTATCAATAGCCGTTCAACGTGTTGGGCAGACTCTTGTCTTGAATGCTGGGTGCGTCTTTTGCTTATTTTGTGTCCATCTCGCATAAGCATCATGGAAAAGTCTTTGAAAGTATGGATTCTATGGTGGCATGCAGGCCTGATGTTGAAGAGGGAGATAAGATGTTTAGGAGACATAACAATCAACCAAAATGTTCAGATGATGAGGATGAATCATTGCTTCTGAACTTCGCAATGCATTCAGTGAGAATGGAGGCATGTGATTGTCCACCGGCCCATCGCCCTCATGCCGAGGAGCAATCAAGTTCTTCTGCGCTGCCCGGGGGAGAGACTTGCAGTAGTTCTCCGGACGATGGATTTGAAAGCCCTGCAGGACACGATAAACAGGTTAAACAGGACCGTTTTATCTGGGAAAACAAAACTAGCAAGAAAAACAAGGGGCGTGAGCCAGTAAGAAGAACTTCACGTATCAATGAAAAGATCAAGCCTTCTGTAGAGTCTGATAAGCAGAGAAGAGCCGGAAGCAATGAGTTTTTAAGAGTTCTGTTTTGGCAGTTTCACAACTTCCGCATGCTTTTGGGTAGTGATTTGCTTCTGTTCAGCAATGAAAAATATGTGGCTGTGAGCTTACATTTGTGGGATGTTAGCCGACAGGTCGTTGCTAACCTCTGATTGGTTATCTTTTTCACCTTTTTTAATTAACTTACCGTTAGTGAACTCTTGCAATTTTTCACAGGTTACTCCATTAACATGGCTTGAAGCTTGGCTTGATAACGTAATGGCGAGTGTGCCTGAGTTGGCAATTTGCTATCATCAGGATGGTGTTGTCCAGGGCTATGAGCTCCTGAAAACAGATGACATATTTCTATTAAAAGGCATCTCAGAGGACGGTACACCTGCCTTTCATCCTCATGTTGTTCAGCAGAATGGTCTTGCTGTTTTAAGGTTTCTTCAAGCAAATTGCAAACAGGATCCCGGTGCCTACTGGGTAATGCTCTATTTTTTCTCGGTGCAACATAATATGTGTCAAGGATATTTCTTGATGTCATTACTGACTTATATTCCCATTCTGTGACTTTTGCAGCTCTATAAAAGTGCTGGTGAAGATGTCATTCAATTATTTGATCTTTCCATAATTTCAAGGAATCATTCTTCAAGCAACTGCAATGACAGTGCAAGTCCCTTACCATCTCTCATTCATAGAGGACGGAATGACCCGTTATTTTCCTTAGGAAATCTTCTCTATAGAGTTGGTCACAGGCTTTCTCTTTCAGTGGTAAGGATCAAGGCATCAGGTTTGAAAATCAATGAACACTTAACTATTTCTTTCAGCTGACAGTAAAAAAACTTCTGCAGGTGCCAAACGATAGGGCTAAGTGTGCTCGGTTCCTGAGAAAGTGTTTGGATTTCTTGGATGAGCCTGATCATCTGGTACTCATCCTTCTGAAATGATTTTTCAAATCATTTTAGCTATTTCTTGTTTGGCTTTCGGTGACTGCTCATGTTTGATATTTTTGTTGGTTTAGGTTGTAAGGGCGTATGCACATGAGCAGTTTGCGAGGCTTATTCTGAATGACAACGAAGAACTGGATCTGTCTTCTGAATCTCTTAATGTGGAATGTGAAGTGACACTAACAGACATAGAAGAGGAATCCCTCACAGTTGATCATGAAAATGAAATGGCGATATTCCCTGAAGATAAGTTCAGTGAGGACTATACGAGTTCTTATCTATCGCCTTCTGCATCTGTTAAGATGAACTTAGTGGAAAATGTGTCACCTTGTAAGGAACTGTTACGCCCAGGGGATCCAGATTCCAAGGACTCTGAGAGCGCTGTTGTAAATTCCAGTTCAGGTAATAGTTTCGGACTTTGTCCGGTGTCCCGAGCTCCTGAACCTTTGGTTGAGACTGTCACTAGTCCTATCTCCTCTAAACTGGCAGCAATTCACCATGTCTCTCAAGCTATAAAGTCTCTTAGATGGACACGGCAGTTACAGCACTCAGAAAAGGAGGTGCTAGAAAAGGATGACACTTTTCACGATATCTTGTCTTCTTCGGCCAAGTTTTCCATATGTGAATGTGGTGATCCTGATTGCATTGAAGTCTGCGATATCCGGAAGTGGCTTCCAACATCAAAACTAAACCGCAAATTGTGGAACCTTGTGCTGCTTCTGGGTGAATCTTATCTGTCATTGGGAGAAGCTTATAAGGAAGATGGACAATTGCACCAAACATTGAAGACAGTAGAATTGGCTTGCTCCATCTATGGATCAATGCCACATAAATTTGACGAGACACTGTTTATTTCCTCGATGAGCAAGAGTTTGTCTCTGCAGTCCAAAACGGGTCCTTGTGATCTCACTTTGGAGCAACTTTCTTCAACACAACTCTTTTGGGCTAAGGCGTGGATGTTGGTGGGTGATGTTTATGTTGAGTTCCACATTGTGAAAGGTAAAGAACTATCAAAACGGGCAGAGGAAACCTCAACCAATCGGTTGAGGATGTCATCTGAGGTTGTAAAGGAAGTACAGAGGCTGAAGAAGAAGTTGACTCAATACAGTCAGAATTGCAGTTCATGTTCATTGGTAAATTGCAGCTGTAAGAGTGACAGAGCAAGCAGTGGTAGCAGCGCAAGTAGCAGCATTTCAGGTCCTCGCTCTATTTCTCATGGCAGGAAGAGCAGTAGAAAGCCACATTACAAGAATCCGCCTGGTAGAGTCTTGCGAGACTTTGAAGATGAACAGATTCATCTCAAAACTGAGAAAGGAAGCTATAGGGAGAGTGAGACCTCTATGGGCTCTTTGGGTATTGCTACTTCAGCGACAACAAAGGATCAATCTGCAGAGGGTTCTTTTGGAGAAAAGAAAGCTGAGCCTCTGGAGCAGAATGTAATGAGATCCAAGGAGACCCAGAGAGTTAAAAAAGGCGGAATATTCAAATATCTCAACATTCCTAAAACCGAAGATGCAGAAAGCAATCTGTTAGCCGCATTGAGTTGTTATGAAGAAGCTCGAAAGGCATTGCAGGAGCTTCCAATGGGGTGTGATGAATTGCAGTCTGTGATTAAAAAGAAAGGGTGGGTGTGCAATGAACTTGGTCGGAATCGGCTCAAGAGCAAAGAACTGAACAAAGCTGAAGATGCTTTTGCAGATGCTGTAATGGCGTTTAAGGAGGTTTCCGATCATACTAACGTTATACTAATCAACTGCAACTTGGGTCATGGCCGACGAAATTTGGCTGAAGAGATGGTGTCAAAGTTAGAAGCTCTCAAATTTCATGATGCTTTAACAAACCCTTACCGGCAAGCTCTTGCAATTGCAAAGCTAGAATACAGCAAGTCACTTCGATATTACATGGCAGCGAAGACGGAACTGACTGTTGCGGCCGAAAAGGCTGGTTCTGTTCCAGACAATCTGAAAATCGAAGCCCTAACACAGCTTGGTCATACATATCTGAGACTTGGAATGCTTTTGGCAGAAGAAGACACACCTGCTGAATGGCCTGGACATAACATCTCGGAAAACACTCATGTTTCTTCTGATATAAGAGCCAGGAACACGGGAAAACATGAAATTTCAGCCAATGATGCGATAAGGGAGGCTTTGTCTATATATGAATCGCTCGGGGAAGCACGTAAACAGGAAGCTGCTTATGCTTATCTTCAGTTAGCTCGGTACCAAAAGGATCGATGTTTGAGGTTCCTGGAGTTGGATCATCAAAAGGAAAATCCTCCGAAAACCGAAAGCAATTCCATCCAGAGGGCTAAACAATATGCGATGTTAGCTGATAGGAATTGGCAGAAATCCATGGATTTCTATGGTCCAAAGACCCATCCGTCCATGTTTCTGACGATTCTAATCGAGAGAGCTGCTCTTTCTTTCGACCTGTCGAAGTTTTGGCAATCGAATATCGTATCTTCTCTATGCCGCCTGCTTGTTTTTCATGAACTTTTAACATCTGATGCAATTGCCTGATGGAATCTTCTTCTTCTTGTGTTTTTTCTACTTCAGATGCTCGATTCAGCATTGTCTCGTCTGCTCGAAGGCCGGCATGTTTCAGAAACGATTTCAGATTCCTCGATAAGGGATGACTCGGAGCTTCACGCGCGATTCTGGGGTCAGATTCGGATGGTTCTGAAGCGAATGCTGACGTTATCCCTACCGGCGGAAGCGAACAAGACATGGAGAGACAATGGGAAACTGAGGGAGATGTACAAGATGTCTTTGAAGGCGACAAGCCTAAGTGACTTAAACGATATGCATTCTTTGTGGACATCATCCTCCTAGGATCTTGGAACTCATGGTTTCTGTCAAGTACGTCCACTTCTTCTCATACGTATGTTGGTACTTACACTTCCCCCACAAAATTACCGGATTCTCAAGTTTTTTCAGGCCTTGGTAATCTGTAACTTTGATCGGCAAATTGCCCTAAATATGAATTGACGACATCGTTTTTTGTAATATAAAAGGATAAACTCCGTTGTTATTTGGAGGACTGTCGTCTGTCGGCAAAATCTGGCATCTTGTGTGACCTTTCTTATCTACACTTTTGTTTAGCAAAAAACTCGAGCCACATTGATGCGAAAAATACCAAGGTGAGTGCAATGATCAACTATTCAACGATAACAAGACAATAATTTTATTCCAAGTATCATCAACCCTCTAATATTTAATAATATTAAATAATAAAATTACAAAAAATTATTAAATTTTATAATATTATTAATAAAAAATAAAATAATAATAAAAATCACATATATATACACACACATACATACACAATTACACATATATACTCATATATAATATATATATATATATATATATATATATAACGCGTAATTTGAGGGTGAGTGGATCAGGGTAAGACGGTTTTTTTCTCGGAAAAGCTTCTGAGCGTTGGAGCTCTCGGCGAAAAAATGGCGAGCGACGCTCTCTCTCTGCTCTTCCGTCGCAGCGCACTGCAATGTCGCTTCTCATCGTTCGAGCCCTAGTCTCGTTTCTCTCTCTAAACCCTCGATTTCTCTGGCTAAAATTGTACCTGGGTTCCTTGCTCCTCCTGTCGGATCGTCCCGACCCGCATTCCCTCTGGCTCCGAAATTCGCCGAATCCGAATCACCCGTCGTTGATTCTGAGCCTGAGGCTTCTGATTCCGGTCCTGTGGAGACCGCAGAGGATGTGGAGATCGCTTTGGAGCAGCCCAAGAGGGAAGAGGTTTTTGCTGTCGTCATGGTGAGTGGAAAGCTGAGAAGGAAAATTCCCAATGTGAGGAAATCCTTTTTCTTTTACTACTTCTGGGTGCGTTTAGATTTGATTAGACGACTGCTTTTGTGTCGATTTTTGGATTTACGAGGTAATCGCTTGAGCAACTACGGTAGTTTATGGTTAATGTATTGCATTTTAAGGGATATACAGGGTTCTTCGAGTAAGAACAGTTTTCTGCTTCAAATCGATAGTGTGGTCAATGAGTCAGTTTCTACAAATGATCCAGATTGCAGGTCAATGATCTTTTTTACTTGGACAAAATCTTCTGCGTTCATCCTCTGTGTCCGGTTGTCGGGTGGATTTTGAAATCTCTGATATGGGTTAGGGCTCTCTCTGTTTGGTGGAACAGGTCGGTGGTCGCCAATACATAGTCTTTCCCGGAAGATATCTCTACACTCAGAGGCTGAAGGATGCAAATGTCAATGATAAGGTGTTGTTGGAATCTTTAGCATTTAAGGATTTGAAGCAATGCCCTTTCCATGACTCATGAATTGCATTTGATTATCCTAATGAATTCATTCCGGGTCAGGAATTTTGTTAATCGGAAAAAGAAAATCCATGGTAAGATTCTTATCAACCGGAAAAAAAGGTGGAAGAGCCGGCACTTCTTCACATTCCTGTTCCTTTGCCTTGTCAAAACGCTTAACTTTTTCTCGTGCAGATTGTCCTGAACAAGGTGTTGCTTGTCGGCACAAAGACACACACTTATATCGGCAAACCGGTTGTGACCAATGCCGCTGTTCATGCAGTGGTGGAAGATCATGTAACTCAAGATAGCGCGTCTTGGAGTTTTTGTCTTGCAGGTTTTTTCCTTCCTCATTGTCCCTAACTTTGAGAAACTCCGATGTTTTTCGGTTGCAGGGCTTGAATGATAAAGTGGTAGTATTCAAATACAAGCCGAAGAAGAAGTACCGTAGAAATAACGGGCATCGACAGGTATTGCAGTTCTTGTGTAAATCCAATACCGGGTCCTAACCCTCCACCCCCCAATCTTATCTCGAAATCTAAGTCCAAAAGACTTTTTTTCTCTTGAAATGCTGATTCATGATTGAATATATTTGCAGCCGAATACCAGGATTAGGATTACAGGCATCACAGGTTATGAGGATTATCCTGCCGCCGCCAATGTTGCCGTCTAGAGATTGATGAGGATGAACTTTGAGAGAAGAACCTCTTCGATGTTAGTTCAGTTTTCAGATTTTTTTTTTGTACGTACCCTTGCACTATTGCTTGAGTAATGAAAGCATTTCATTTTTTTTTTCTTTTTTAAATCTCAGCTTCTATCTTCAATCTTAAAATCGCGAGAACAGGAAACAGGAAACATGAAACACCAACGATCGATGTCGTTCCCCAGACATGGGAATTTGACTAACCGGATCACCGGCCATTTCGGTTCAGGTAATTTACTCCCGAATTGTACCGAACCGATTGAAGGAGTATCGGTTCGATTTTGTTTTATTGGTTAAAATCGAACAGATATAAAGTAAAGAAAACGCATCGGTTCGAATTTTGTACAGTTCGGTTCAGGAACCAAACCGAACCGGTCTGAACCAATTAGAATTAATATAACAAAACCGTTTCAGATCGAACCGATACAAAGTAGTCTCGAAGTACGACGGGAAAGAGATTTATTCGCCCAGGTCGGGAAACCCAATATGTACATATACACATACATATATACATTAGAAGTTATACATAGAACTGGAAACTTAGAGACAAAAGATACATACATATATACATAAATAAAAGTGTGTACATGCGGATGACGATATATATGTGTATATATAATAGATCTAAGGGCACTTGAGACAGCCACCATGGGTGGTCATGGAGGCATAGCACGGACAGAGATGAGTGTTCCCTGAAGTTCCAGGAGGCACACAGTTGCAACGTACGCAGCAAGTGTTGCATGCCCTTACGCACATCTTTGCCCTCGACGCCTTGCTGCATCTATACATACATCTCCCCTTGCAATCTACGTACGTTACCACCCCCATATGTTATATATACACACACACACACATATATATATATATATGCAGTAAAACTGTTAAAAAATTGTAAACTTCATATCTCACCGATTTTACTGGCGTTAAGGTTGAGGTCTTCTGCAGCATGAACGTTCTGATGGCAAATATATGGTTTTTGTTGCATGGTATATTACACGAGATCTTCATCATATATGTTTTTATATATATATATAGTGAATAAAGACAAGAATGAAAATGATGAAGCAGTTACCTCGTAGGTGGAGATACAATAGACGATTAGTAACAGAAGAGCTGCTGTCTTGAGGATGGCCATGCCTGAAAGCATTTTACTTCACAATATATTTTACGATACGGAGGGACCGATTGACGACCCGTTTGTTTGTATAATATATATATATATATATATATATATATATATATATATATACCTTATACGA